TTATGCTTTGCCTTGAACCTGGCCGTGTGGAGCCAGGGCATCATAACAGGTGTGAGATCCGTGAATTCAGTTATATCCTCAGCATCTTCCTCGTTGCCTGGGGTCAGATGAGTGTAGCTCTTGGGGGCTTTACAAGAGCTCAGGCCCCAGAGTCGCATCTCACGGCAGGCTCCGGCTGCCCAGTGAGGACGTGTGGTGCGGGCCGGCCCTGCCCCACTCCGCCGCCGTTCTGTCTGCTGCATCGTTTGGCCACCACCTCCGCCCCCGTACTTTGGGTTCAGTTCTGTCACTTTCTTACCCACTTTAACCTACCTGCTTCTCGGGCCATTTTTAGTGTCTACCAGTGCCCTGTACACTCCAGGTTTTAATTTTAAGAACTTGCACCTGGGACCCCTGACATCTGGGGGAAGTGAATCTGGCTCTAAGAACAACTTCCTTCAACACAGATTTTGTTCCTTGCCCTGAGTCTCCTCCCCTACGGTGGCCCACGTCCTGGAAATCTCTCTTTTTGGACCCCCTCTACCACGCTGGGTCACTCCGTTATGAACCCTCTGACCTCTTCCTTATTAAAGTTGCAGGTGCTCTAAGGCCCCGGGGTCCTGGGGGCAGCCACCCACCCGCCTCTGGAGGGGAGCTGAAATGACATATCTGTGTCCGCCCCCTAGCCCCTGTCAGTGCCTCCTGTGGGTGAGCATCCTGGCAAAGACCTGCTTGCTTCAGCCTGGGACACATGTCGACCACAGTCTGTCTCCTACTGGAGTGACAGATTTTACTTTAGGTGGCAGGCAAGTTTGGGGCCATCGTAAGGACTACTTAAAGGAAGGGCCGAAGTATTGACAAAATTTCAATGTAAAGATTTTCTCCAAAGGATGGCACTTATGAACTTAGTGTCTGTGACAGCCGGCAACGTCTGACCCCTCCCTCCCTCCAGCCATTAAGCTGGACTTTTTCAGTGATGGACCTATCATTCCATCTGAGAGTAAAAAAAAAAAGCAATGATTTACACCTGCCCAGCTTTACCAGACACCTTCAAAACACAGCATCCTAAACTCTTTATCTCTGCAATCTGGACCCATTGGACCATTTTGCTCCGGTTAGGTAGTGATTACTAGAGTGAAACTTGGAGTTGGAGATTCTGCGGGAAAGGGACAGATTTTCTTTGCTTTTCTAAGAGGATCCCGCATGAGGTGTTCTTTAATAATAAAATTCGGAGTAAGACAGATCTGAGGCTCTCGCTGTTACAGGATTTCTATCAGAAACTCAGCTGCGAGGGTGGGAGTCAGCTGTTTTACAAATTCCACCCCGCAGGAAAGGACGACCTCCTTCCCAGATGACGCTGTCAGAGCATCCTGGCGACTTTCTGCGTGACTCCCGACAGCAGGGGTCCAAGTGGACCTGCGTTGCCCATGTCTGGCGTGGTGAGGGTGGCTTTAGGCAGGGAAGTTTCATTTGGGCTCACTGTTGGTTGAACGACCAGCTTTGGAGTCCAGGCAGGAATGTGTGTGATGGTGTAACGTGAACAAAACACTAGCGGAGAGCCCCCGGGAGAACATCATTTTACACTGCTTCCAAGGAGACAGAAAGGACGTTTCTGAAAAATAAACCCAGGACACGGTCAGTGAGCATCTCATTTTCTCCTACCCTGGACAGTGGGAGCGGACACCTGGCTCAAGACACCTGTTCACTGCGCCGTCAGACCTGGGCCTTTGTGACGAGGGGCTGTGCTTTTGTCCCGGTGTCTCCCAAGGGAGTCGGGTCTGCCCGTTCCCCAGACAGCGAGGAGAACTTCAGGAGTCACGAGGTGAAAATAATGGGGAGTTAATCGCCTGTCGGGACCCCTTCTGTGTTCCCCGTCCACTGGTGCCCGGAGCCCTGCCCTCAGGGCTCCTGGGAGGAGGAACGGCCAGGACTGTTCCTGAGAAACTGGGCCACCGTGTCCCCACTTCGAAGAAGTCAGCTGCGCCCGGCGAGTCATGGTTTGTGGTCACAACCAAAAAGTCCCTTTCACATATATTTGAAAACCAGTATCTGTAACTAAATTTACAGAATTCAGTGACCAGCCCTCTTTCTTCTGAAGATGATGCTGAGGCCCCAGGGTTGGTAAGGGGGTTCTTGGAGAGGGTCTCCACCCGCGGAAGCCCTCCCCATGCCTGTGACCCCCAGGGGCACGTGACACATAGACTGCAGCTCCGCCCGTCCAGGGGCATTGTTCCCACCTCAGGTGACGTCACTGGGCTCTCAGGACAGTGTTCCCAGCCTCCAGGGCGCCCCTCGCCAAGTGTCCCAGTGGGGTCGCTGACAGCTCTGGCTTCTGCTCCAGATGGCAGCGCACCCTGAGGAAGGTGTGTGAACCGTGGACCAGATGGAGTGTGTCTGGTCTTCCCGAGGGAGCGAGTAGCTCACTCTGGCCTCCTGGCCCCTGGGTCCCTTTACTCTGTGAAGCTGAGGAAAGAAAATGCTATTTCATTGCCGTGTCTTTGCTGTGCACTTGGCTTTTGTTGTTTGGGGGAGATAATCTGTTTATTATTCACCAGAAAGTACACGTAGGAGCGAATGGGAGCAGGTAAGCACTCTCTAAACGTGAGTCACGTTTACCAGCCAAGCTACAAACAGTGCAGGTGACAGGGAGCTTTCATATGCTGCTTCCCTTTAAGGTCCCTGGCTTCTTAAAACACTCCCGCCCTCCCCAGGTGATGCTGAGAAGCTCCTCGCTGCGCTTTTGCAGGCCCCCAGCTTAGCCTCTCCTGGTGAGGGCTGTGCAGAAAGGATGCATCGTCCCTCGTGACTTGGGACCCAAGCAGTTGTTTGTTAAAGGCTTTGTTGTGACTCACACTCTGACTGGAATACATCCCGGTGACTCCTGGAGGGAAGAAAGGACCAGGCAGGTCCTGCTCCCCCGGCTCGGTGGCCTCGCTGGGCACCCCCGCTTCAGCGCTGACCCGGCTTTCAGAACCTGGCCAGTCATGGCCCCAAACGAGCCGGGAGCCGCTGCTGTCTGTGCGGGTCTCCCATTCTGTCACCTGTGCTCTCTGCTCTTATCAGATCCCATGTCTGTGATTCTCTGGCTCCACTGCTGCTGCACAGATCAGGCCACCTTCCCTCATTTCCTCCACTTCCTCACTGCCCGGTGATATCACTTCCTCCCCACCGGTGACACCAGGGCCTCGTCCCTCCTGAGCTCTGTGACCCTGTTTGACACTTGGCTCTCTGAGTTGTTTTTCTTCATCTTTACAAGAAGGAGGCCAGATCAGATGAGTTTTATTCCCCATTTGAGCTAAAAACTTTGAGTCTTGGGAAACTGTTTTTCTCCTCTCTTGACCTGTCAGACAGAGGGGACACCTGTTCCCCTGTGACCTGGCACCAGCCAGGATGGGACCCACCGAGGGGCCCTGGCATGAGGTCGGCGCAGGGGCCAGACCTCCAGGGCATGGGCGGGGTTCCAGGTGGTCAGGCGTGGATGTGGTCGAACCTGCTGTCCCATTTATTTAGACTCTTTGCTCTCTGGTGACTTCATGGCAGCAGAGTTAGGTTAATAAATACCGATTGATCATAAGGATGAATTTTTAGTTGCTAAAAGGTTGCTAAAAGTCATGATGATAGCGTATCCCTACACACGCTGTTTTTTTAAGCTTTTATTTTAGAACAGTTTCAGATTTATAGAAATGCTGTGACCATAGGATGGAGAGCTGCTGTGTGCCCCACGCCAGCTTCCTCAGTCACTGACATCTTCCATCAGTGCGGTGGACACAGCTGAGTCCATACTTTGTTCAGATTTCCGTAATTTTCCCTGCCGCCCTCCTTCTGTTCTGGGATCCCATCCTGTCCCATGTTAGGTTTCGTGTCCTGCCTCCTGAGGCTCCTCCTGCTGGTAAAGGTTCTCGGGCTTCTCCAGTTTTTGATGACACCCGCCAGTCAGTCGGCTGTTTTGTAGAATGCTCCTCGTCTGTGGGTTGTTTGCTGTTTCTTCTCAGTAGACGGGGGTTATGGGTTTGAGGACGAAGCTTGTGGAGGTCAGGGCCCTTCTCGTCACATCAACAGTCAGCGTGACCTGTCACCACTGTCAGTGTCGCCCTTGGCCACCTGGCCGAGGTGGTGACTCTCAGGTTCCCCCGGTGAGGTTAGTGTCTTCTCCCTTTTCCATGCGGTCCTCTTTGGAAGGACGGGGACCTGCTTTCCTCCTGCTTGGGGCTCCCGGCAGCCCCACCCCCCGGAGTGAACTCACTGGTGACTGGCCCGTGGCCACGGGAGAGTGACTTGAACGCTGACCTGGGATGCTGTTCACCATGTGGGCGGCCTCTGGGGACCCCCACTGGATGGGTCCCAGGTGAAGATTGGGTGCCAGGAGCCATGTGCTCGTGGCCCCTCTCAGAATGTGATCGGGGGTGTATCATCTTAGCACTTGGGGCTAACACTTTGGTCCAGGGGAAGAGTGCTTCCTGGAGCAGCGACAGTTACGAGAGCCCTGACCTGGAATAATTCAGTGCTTCTCTGCTCTGGACCTGACTCTGTGTTAAAGTGGAAACAGCTTGGTCCCTGCTCTCGGAGGGCCCCAGGAAGGTCTAGAAAACATTGCCATTCCAGGCTTCTGGGTGTTAATAATTACACTAAAATACGGTTGGGTTTGCTTTCCCAACAGCACACGTGAATAGGATCTTGCTTCTCCTGGTAAACTGTGTGAGTACGGAGGGCAGGAACGAGGTCCTCCGTTTGTGCTTCCCATGCTCTTTCTGCTTAGAAGACTCTCAGTTAAGAGTGGCAGCTCCGAGACCACAGGGTCGTGGCCAGTGTGCTGGCCCCCCAGGTGGTTCTCATGCTGCTGTAGCCTGAGACCTGGAAGTGCGGGCGGATGTTCTGACGGCAGGTCCTGGGGTTCTGGGCTGTCAGGTGTCAGCATTAAGGGCAGTACAGGACCCCATTGGCGTCTGTGCTGCAGACGAGGGGGTTGATAGGTGAAACCAGGGGCAGTGATGAAGCAAAGACCTCTGTCTTTCTCTCGGCAGGTTCGAGCTGCAGAATGGGGTGCACAGTGCTGGTCAGCATCGGGCAGCAGATGCTGCGGCGGAAGGTGGTGGACTGCAGCCGGGAGGAGAGCCGGCTGTCCCGCTGCTTGAACACTTTCGACCTGGTGGCGCTGGGGGTGGGCAGCACGCTGGGGGCCGGCGTCTACGTCCTGGCGGGAGCCGTGGCCCGGGAGGACGCGGGCCCCGCCATCGTCATCTCCTTCCTGATCGCCGCGCTGGCCTCGGTGCTGGCCGGCCTCTGCTACGGTGAGTTCGGCGCCCGGGTCCCCAAGACGGGCTCAGCCTACCTCTACAGCTACGTCACCGTGGGCGAGCTGTGGGCCTTCGTCACCGGCTGGAACCTCATCCTCTCCTACATCATCGGTGAGTCCCCGGTGCCCGGAGCCTGCGCCCTGCCCTCTATACCCCGTGGGCCAGACCCACTCGGCTCCCCAGACAGACTGCGCCTCTCTCCTCCCGGGGATCTGCCTCCTCGCCTGACTGTTACACATCATCCCGTTTCCCTTAATGGAAGGAGAGGCACCCTGTGGGCATCACTGCCCTTGCTTTTAATGATCCAGCCCGTAGGCCCTCAGCGGGGGCGGGCCAGGCCCGCAGGCGGCCAGTCTTGTCAGCACCAGACCCAGAGGCAGCAGGACGCTCCTGACGCGTTACAGAGCAGGAGGTCTCCTGCAGTATTTTTTTCTGATTACTCGAATAAACATATCACTGTCTGATGCAGAAAAATTTGGGAAATGTAGAAAAGCACAGAGAAGAAAGTGGAAGTTACCCTGTGTGACAGACTGGAGAAATCGATTCTCTTGTTCATTCGTTCAACAGACAGTCACCGATGCCTCCTCTGCCCAGGTCATGCCAGGTTTAGGGCACACTGGAGGGACAGGGCCCTCTGTTCAAGGCGTTTAGGGGTATAACCATTGTCAGTGCTTTTGTGAACCAGGGGCATCAGTTTTCCTATTGTGTCTTTTTTTTTTAAAAAAATAAACAAGATACAGTAACCGTAGCATCCTCATAGCATCAGCTGTTTTTCCAGGGTAGTGCTCCTGATGATGGCGTTCCCCTTACATAGATTTATATGCAGGTGACTGAGTTGACGTCATTGTGGGATATTCAGATTGTTTCCAGCTGCATTGTTATTATAAACAGTTAATTACTTAATGTCTTTGGCATGGCCATGGTTGGTTTTTTTTCCCTTTAAAATGGTCTAAAGGAGGGAGGGTATAGCTCAGTGGTAGAGTGCTTGCTTAATACACAAGGTCCTGGGTTCAATCCCCAGTCCCACCATAGAAAGTAAATACACAAAAAAATAAAACTAAAATGGTCTAAGAAGCGGGCTGTCTGGGTCAGTGGGACTGTGTTACCTGCGACCTTCCTGATAGCCAGGGGCCCCTTTTCCTCACATCCTTGCCGACTCTGGACTCTGGGCATCAGCGTTAAAAACAACCAAACAACAAACAAAAACACTAAAAACAGTCTTTTTTGTTTGGTGGGTTAAAACGCTTTGTTTCTTTTCACATTACTTGTATTTTGATTATAGCCGAAGCTGAGCTCGTCCAGTTAAAAGACAAACCCCCTGAATGTATGAAAAACCATCTATGAATGGCGGGTCACAAACATAGAACCACAGATGGCCACGAAATATTCTGGTTCTGTTTCAGCAAGCTCATTGTAACAATATCAAAACCCAGTAAGGTAGGGGGGCTGAGCTGTGTGCCCCCTTCCTGCACCCGCGCCCTGGGGATGCCCAGGGCGGTGCTGCCTGCGGGACCCCAGCACCAGGTCCCCGTGTGGGCCCCGCCAAGCGCTCTGGGCGACGCCTCCCTTTCTTCCCAGCGCCTGCTGCGAGCCTACTCTTCTGAGTTGGAAATAAGATTCCTAATCGTGGTTTCTCTCGGCGTAACACCAGAGCTTAAACCACAGACACTCATGAGCTGCAGCCTCTCGGGGTGGAACGCAGCTACTTTAAAGGGGCCGCTGTCTTCCCGAGGATTTGCCTGCGTGTAAAACACATCGAGGGGCGTGAGGCACCCGCTGGTTACGGACCTGCAGGCGAGGGGGCCTCGGCCGGGGTGGTGTCTGCTCGTCAGACATGTCCCCACGTCACCGCCGGCGATTCTCAGCCATGGTCCTGGGCGAGGGCAGCTTTTCCATCAAACATGTTTATTTTTAAAGCCATGATTCCGAGATGGGGAGAGGTAGGCTGGAAGGAAAGGCCGGGCAGCCCTGTCGCGTGGCCCTCTCAGCAGCAAGCAGGCCTCTGAGCCTTTGCTGTCACTGGGTGCGGCCTTGATGGACAGAATGCATAATGGCCCAGCTACTGAGGATGGAGAAATGTGCTTACGCTTTTGAGTTGTTGGAAAAATGCTTTGCATGAGACCAAGTAGTGAAAGTGAGTGTCTGCAGGTTACTCTGGCCAGATGCTGTGGATGGTCCAGAACATAGTCACTGGCAAGGCCCCTTAAAAAGTAAAGGAAAATGCTGTATGTCGATACTGGAATTTGAGCGACGCCTGAGCGGTGGCGGACGCCTGCCAGAGGGGACGGGGGCCTGCCGGGTTGAGCTGGGGACTTTGCTGCAGAGGAGGGGCCGGCCCGAGCCCCCCTTGTCCATCTCCTCCTCCATACAGGAGGCCGGCTCTGTCAGCTCCGCTGCCCAGAGAGTCTTGGAGAAGAAGCTTCCAGAGAAATGAGGCTCAGGTCACAGCCTGCAGCCTGTAGCCAGGGGCGGCCATGAAATCAATTGAATGGCTCGTCCCCGGGAGTTCTTTATGTGATGGAATAAAGTCGGCAGAATTCAGTGCTGTCGGAGTGCCTTTGGGTGCTGAGGGGAGCATTATTTTCCTGAACTTCCGTCACTGTTCACTTAGACACACAATAGAAATGCACGGTACACATGTGCACATTGGTTGGATGCAAAATGCGAGGCTCCCCAGGCTTCCCACTGCTCTGCAGACCCGGGCTGGCGCTCGGTCCTGAGTCAGCATGTCCCGGGGTCAGGCTGCTGCCTCCAGGTCCCTGCACACCCGCAGTGGGCCCCGCGCCGTCGCCCAGACATCGAGCCTGAGGACAAGCCCTCTGCTCGACGTTCCCCGCCAGTTCCTGCTGACGGTGTGCTTCCCGGCAGGTACCTCCAGCGTTGCCAGAGCCTGGAGCGCCACGTTTGACGAGCTGATCGGCAAGCCCATCGGGGAGTTCTCGCGGACGCACATGGCCCTGCACGCCCCCGGGGTGCTGGCCGAGAACCCAGATATATTTGCTGTGATTATAATTCTCATCCTAACAGGTAAGGCCGCACCCTGAGAGGCATCAGGTTGGCGTGAGGGCTCCGAGGTGGAGGACGGGCTGCTGTTCAGTTGGTTTCTTCCTTTTCTCATTCTCCCATCCCGCCACTTCTTTTTCTTTGTGTAATTAATGCAGACGTTTTGTTTGTCCAAGTGGCTTATAGAGATTCACCCAGGACTGGCCTATTGAATAGCTGTCAAGTTGCCTGTCATTTAAATTAAGAGAATCTCAGCTGTTTGGTTAACTGCTGGTGGAGTAAGACTTTGTTAGTGCTGCAGGCTTTTTGTGCAAATCTTTTGACCTGCTGGATGGCCACTTGGAAAGAAAAGTTGGGGTTCCTCAGCCAGGGTGATGGGGAGGGGCCCCCAGGGCCGTCTGGGACACTGATGTGGGTCTTGGTGTGTGCGACGCCTCGGGTGGCTTCACACCCAACAGCCGTCAAAACACCCTTTAAATAAATAAGTTTCACCACAAAGCTGCTGGTCCAGAATTTTGGAAGTGCAGACGTGGCTCGTACACAGCTGATGGCAGCCTCTTCTCAGTGACATTTATCCGTGTCTCAGCCCCTCGGATGCGAGTTTTGTAGGGTAAAGATTAAGCTGAAACGCGGATAAATTCTCCTCTGAGGTTGGAAGATCTTGGATGGGTGTTAAAAACAACACGGCTTGTTTGCCACACGCATCATTGATGTGGTTCTGCACAGGCTGGTCTCAGCAGTGTTTGTGGTCCAGCCGGCAGGAACGTGTGTCAGAAACTAAGTTTGCAGTAGTGAGATTTTCGTAAACACGGGAGGGAGGGGTGCTAAAGAAGAAACAGAGCGGAGTGTGGTGACGTCTTCCCTGTGATGAATTGCTCAGTTCTCTTCTAATGTCCGTATTTCAGAATGCAGCCTGTTAGGCAGAGCAGCTTTTATTTTAAAGCATATGAAAGGCACCTCCCACACCTCTTCTCTTGCCCAGCCGAGAGTTCATACAGGAGTGAGCCCTGTGGTCCCCAGGTTGGTCCTGCTGCACCAGCAACACGACAAGTGTCGTCACATGGCCCCTGTGTTTTTATCGCTTGGTGGTTTTTTTTATCATGGGTTTACCTCCTACACCTCGTCTCTGTGCACTGCGTCCAAGGGGGACCCGGACGTGGTAGGGGTTCCACACCCCAGACGGCCGTCACTGCTGATGCTGCTCCCACCCTACGGTACGTACGAATGAGTCCTCATCTGAAAAACTCATTCGGCTGAGAAACTGAGCAACATATCTCCTTGGAGGAAATGAAATCCTGCTCCTGAGGGCAGTTCTCAGGGATGTATGTTCGGAGGGAGAGGTTCTCTTCATCCCAGGGGATGGCCTTGCTCTCTATGGGCCGTTGGCTGAGCTGTCCCCGTCTCTCTGTCCCTCGGTGCCCCCCGGGTTAGCATCTCGATTCAGAGGGCATCTGGAGATGGAACTCTGCTGGCTTTGTTAAACATCGCGCGGACTTCGGTTATGCTGATCCCTGACTCTGGAATGAGAGTTAATTCAGCCCCCTTCCTCTCCAGAGGTTTGATGCTGCTGGGATTTCTGAAGTCACCCTCTCGTCGCCGCCCCAGAAGGACTTGCCTGGTACGAGGTTAACGCTGAGACAGAGTTTTCTGTTCATGTGCTTTTTGCAGGGCTTTTAACTCTGGGTGTGAAAGAGTCAGCCATGGTCAATAAAATATTCACATGTGTCAACGTTCTGGTCCTGGGCTTCATCATGGTGTCGGGGTTTGTGAAAGGATCCGTTAAAAACTGGCAGCTCACGGAGGAGGATTTCCAGAACGCGTCCAGTCATCTCTGCTTGAACAAGTGAGTCGTGGCTTCTGTGTGTGACGTCCATGTCCTTGGGGGATGTAACTGGCTACAACAGTACAAGTCTTTTCTAAAAAAATATAATTTAAATTAGAATATTTTGTTATTTATTTTTTGCAGCCAAGTAGCTGAGGGTGTTTTATTTGTCTGAAGTTTGTGTTAGGTTTTATGTCCTTGTACTTGACTGAACATTGTAAGACAGGGGAAGATATTAGGGAAAGCAGAATCTGCATCTAATTCCAAAATTGTACACAGTTGAGGATCATTGTCAGACTCAGCAAGTAATCTCTTTTTCCTCCTAATCTGTTTCATGGTCAGCCACTGAATTCTGTATTCAGAAAGGATTTTCTCTGCAGTACGGTGGTGGGACCACTTTATCTTGAAATGCCTTCCTCTCTAATAACATAGAACAAGGGAAAAACTGCGTGGAACTTTTATCACAGACTATTATCAGAGGTTTTCAGAATTACTAAAGTATCAAAATGTGACTATAATCATCTCTGTCACTTGCACTCAGCTTGTGCCGCATCCGCCCCAGGAGCCGTGGCCCTATCACCCTTCCGTGCCTGTGGCTCAGGACACCCAGGGTTGGAGGCAGGCAACTGGCCAGACCTCGACCCTGTGCCTTTTCAGGCCTCTCAGTGCACCCTACTGGCAAGCTTATCTTAGCCAGGAAACAAAAGCCAAACAATTGTATTGTATCTTTTTGATCTTTTTGTCAGATTTTCGAGTGAATTTTAGGGTCCCAGGATGGAGAACAGGAAGTTTAAATTCTGTCTACAATTCTTTTTTAATTACAGCTAATGGTTAACCACTCTGATGAGACCCTCATAAAATATAGTGGCTTTACGATGATGTCTCAGGTCCTGAAATGAGCAGTCTGGGGTGGCTGGCCGGCACAGCCAAGCACAGGCTTTCTGAGACCCAGATCGTCCACCTGGCTGTTAGAACATCCCCGAGGACACTGTCCTCACTGCCTGGTGGGAGCTGGGCTGTGGGCACGGGCGTGACCCAGCTCTCCTAGGAGGGAGAGGGTGTGTGGTGGACAGTGTGCTCAGATGTGGGAGACACAGGTCCCTGCTGCCCACATTCCACTGGCAGAATCTAGCTGCAAGGGAGGCTGAGAGACGAGCTCTCACCCTGGGGAGCCCAGTGGGCACAGGTCAAGCTGGCCTCTGGCTGGGGACTGGGTGTCCAGCCGTGTCCTCCGGTGGCCTGATCAGGGGTCAGGCATTGATGTGTATGTAACGAATTCACTGCTGGAACACAGACAGGAAGCCAGTGTGTGAAATTTCTCTGACTCTAATATTGTGTGGTTTACAGTTCAAATAAAAGAGCCTTCTTTCTGGGGACAAAACTCAATTACAGAGAAATGAGGGCTTTGAATACATCATCCCCAAGCATTCCTGAGGCCTCTTGGTGCCCGTTAATGCAGGGTGGAGTAAGGCCAGTCTGAAACATGCTTCGAAGTAACGCAGGAGACTGGAAGCTTGGGGAGCCTCTCTTCCTGGGCTGTTCACAGGGCAGGACCCAGACCCAGTGCAGGTTCCTGGTTATTGGTGCCGTTCACAGGGCAGGACCCATTGCAGGTTCCCGGCTATTGGTGCCGTTCACAGGGCAGGACCCAATGCAGGTTCCTGGTTATCGGCCAAGGTTAGTTTGAGTCCTGTTTTGAAGAGGTGGCTTGTGCCCGTGGGTGGTGCTGACTGTCACGGGTGCGGCCCTCGGCTCAGCCCTGCCCGCAGCCCCAGGAGCGCTGCCGCGGCGGCTTTGAGAGGTGGGTGCTGTGCGGCTGGGCGCAGCCTGCTCTCTCATTTTATTAGAACCTGGGAGCTTCTTTCTTCCGTCCTCTTTCCAGCCGTAGCTGTGTTTCTGACAGCGGCCACGTGGACTTTCATGAAACTGCTTGTCTCCCTGAAAGGGTGGAGCAGTTCCCGACCCAACTGCAGGGCGAGGAGGAGCCCCGGCCCGCATGGGTGGGAGGCGGCTCTGACCGCCCTGGCTGTGGTGTTCATCCCCTTCGGCCTGGGAGGCAGGCTGTCTCGTGGTCAGGGGAGAAGCGTGATCCTGTGCCCAGATATTTCCTGGCTGCCTTTGACTTGTGCTGCCTCTGGTTTTCCCACTGTGTCCCGTGGATGGGGACCCAGTGCAGGGGGAGGGGAGCATCAGCAGGGCACAGACACCTGCTGAGAAAGTTCTGTTGGGTCTTCCTGTCGGTTAGGATGGAAGCCCCCAGATAACACTGGCTTCCACGAGACAAAGGTTTAGTTCTTTTAGTCCACGTCTGTGGGCGGTCAGTCCAGCACCCCGCTTCCCTGGTCCAGGAAGCCAGTTCTTGCATCCGGTGGCTTTGTCTGTGGCCACATCCCCAGGGTCACCCCAGGGTTCAAGACAGCTCCTCCCCATGAAGGGGAGGAACTGAAGTCTTGGTGAGTGGTTCCTCCCCCTTTGGGTTGGACACCCTGCAGCTCCGGGCCACACTGAGCAGGGAGGCCTGTCCCCCAGGGAGGGAGTTGGTGGCCGGTACAGCCGATCCGGGGGCTGTTCACTAAGGCAGCCCCCAGGCCACCGAGGGAGCCATCGGGTGGGGCGCCTGTTCGGAAGGGCTCCTCTTCAGGCCCACGAAGCAGCTGCTGTGATCCCTGTGGCTCTTTTTTCTAGTGACACGAAGGTGGGGAATCCAGGTGTCGGTGGATTCATGCCCTTCGGGTTCTCTGGTGTCCTGTCAGGGGCGGCCACCTGCTTCTACGCCTTCGTGGGCTTCGACTGCATCGCGACCACAGGTACGCCCGCCGCCTGGCATGCAGCTGGGCTTCTCTGGCCACAGCCGCTGTTTCCCTCCCTGGGGGCCTGCGCCGGTGCCCACGCTGGCACCCAAGAGGCCCGTGTAATTTGTAGCTTCCTGTCCATCTGCCCCCATTTGTCACGTCCCTGAAGGGCCGTATCTGCAGGAAACTGCATCACAAACATGCCTGGCCGTGCTGCCACGTGCCCGGGACAGTGACAGCCTCGCTGCAGCTGATTGCATATCTGGGCACCATTCGGGAGAAGCGGGGCCACTAGAAATACTGTCCTCTTGGGGGATGACTGGCCAGGCTCCCCCAGCCTCCCACGTTTTCTCTGCCAAAGGAAACTAGTCTCTTCCCTGCTGAACCGCAGTGTAAAGGCCGAGAATGCTCCCTGGGCCTGGTGGGTATTCTGGTCCGTGGTCCCGCAGGGCCATGCACGTCTGGGGGCCCATGGTGGTGTGACCCCCTCACCCCTGCTGCCCCCTGGCTGACTCCCTGCTCTTCCAGGGGAGGAGGTCAAGAACCCCCAGAAGGCCATCCCTGTGGGCATCGTGGCGTCCCTGCTCATCTGCTTCGTCGCCTACTTCGGGGTGTCGGCCGCCCTCACGCTCATGATGCCATACTTCTGTCTGGACAAGGACAGCCCCCTGCCTGATGCCTTCAAGCACGTGGGATGGGAGGGCGCCAAGTACGCGGTGGCAGTCGGCTCCCTCTGTGCCCTTTCCACCAGGTGAGGAGGACACCCCCGGAGGGCGGGTGTGCTGTCTGTGTGACTCACCCGTGTGCGCAGAGCCGCTGCCCAGCCTGGCCGTGTGCTCTCTGCCCTCATTGCTGCGTCGGCCACCCGACCGCGGTCTGCGTCACTGACCTGGCTCTCTGTCCCGACTGTGACCACCGACCAGGCCTCCTCCGCGAACACTGTATTTTGGCCCTTAGTTTGGCCGTAAAGTGGAAGTTACCTTGAAAAGGGGAGTAAGTGCCTTTGGATGAGAAGCATTTTGCTCCCGTACTTCCTGCCAGCCTGTACCTGCAGGAAGCGTTTGCTCAGTATCGACTGACCACAGAGGAATCCTCGTGAACGCAGTGATGCTCTTAGTTTCTGTTTGATTCAGCTGGAAATACTCGGAGGAATAAATAAATACAATATTTCTCTTTCAAAAAATTACATCTAGATGCCACGCTAGCTGACATCAGACGCTTCCGCCCTTTCCCTTCCTGCGGACTTGCAGCGCGCGCTTCTCCCGGGGTTGGCGCGCTGGTTGGCCTTTCAGCCGCTGGCGTCACCGGGCGGAGGTAACCCGCGTGGCCCCACTATGGTGCCTCTGTTCTCGGTGAGCTATTTAACAGGTGCATTTTGCCTTTTCTTCCCATCCAGTCTTTTAGGTTCCATGTTTCCCATGCCTCGAGTTATCTATGCCATGGCTGAAGATGGGCTGCTATTTAAATTTTTGGCCAGAATCAACAATAGAACCAAAACACCAATAATCGCCACGTTAACCTCAGGTGCCATTGCTGGTAAGAACTGGAATGATTTTCACGTGCCAGTATTTTAACAGTTGAGCTATCATTCCCTAGGGAATGTGAGGAGGGAGGTCTGTGCAGGTCTGTGAGGAGTTGTAACTGGTCTTGTTAACATTTGATTTTTACCCTTGGAAGCTGGTTTATTGCAAGGTAGCTAACTGCCCTTTTGACAAAAGACAGGGGCCAGTTTTATGGAGGATGTGATGGAATTCTCCGAAAGTTTGATTATTTTAAATTATTATTATCATCTTGCTGGGCAGAGCTGAGACCACACACTGTTCCTTCAAAGTGCTGTGTCTTTCCCCCTTTCCCAAATGTCCTGAGTAGACCTTGGTGGTTTGGTGTCTTACATGGTACAAGCCAGGTGACCTCTGGTTGGTACTGGAAATTCACCGTCCATGCATCTCCTTAGCTCATGAATTCTTTGGAAAATGAGAATCCTTCTGGTCAACGTTTTGTAAAACGTGCCGCTTGTCCCCCAGGAGACACTGAGGGTGTCGCTGGTGAGCCGTGACCCCTAAGCTGATCAACAGTGGCAGGTCCAGGGGAGGTTTATCCGATCAAATCACAGGTTCCTCGCCAGGAGGGCAGTTTTGAGAGATGAAATTGGTGAAACCCTTTGAGCGGCATATGTTCCAAGGGCCCTTGAATAAGAAAAGGGAGCCGTGAGAGGAGACCACTGTCTGCTTTCTGTTTCCTCCTTTGCTTGCATTTCCTGGCCCAGAGGCAGGGCTCTCCCACTGCACACTCTGGCAGCGGAGGCTCAGGGAGGTGAGGGAGTGAGGACGCACACCCAGGGAGTGGAGAGCTGGCTCCTGGTTCCTGGCTGGTTTGGGGGACAAAGTAGCTGGTTCCTTCCCAGGTGTGAGTAGAGCAGTGGGTCTCTTTGGTAAATTAAGACACAGTGCCCGTCGCAGTGGTACCCCAGGGACTTGTCCAGTAGCCATTGGGAAGGCATCTGACCATCTTAAATGAATGAATGGTTAGTAGTATTTATCTCCACGGCAAACAAAGTGTGCTTAGTTTTGTGGATTAATATTATACTATGAAAGAGAGCTAGTTTTTCATTACTTAACACATTTGTTTTGTAATTCCACATTCCTGAGAGCAATCACATGCTCAGGTTAAGGGACACTGTGTGTCCGAATATGACTGGTATGTTTAAGGGATTAAGGAATTGGAAATAGTGAATGTTTTTTCAGTATTTACATGTAATTCCATCATATTGAAAACTGGCCTTAACTTCCTTCCTGTGCTGATTATGGGAGATCAAACTATAAGCTTTAAAGTGACTATAGAGGAAGACACGCTGGACTCAGAGCCATAAGAACCTAGCTCAGGTCTTGACTTTTCCCCTTTTTAGCTGTGTGATCTTAGGTAAGTCTCCCAATGTATCTGAACTTCACTTTCTCCATCTTTAGTGTAGGGATAGCTTGCAAAATTGCCATGAGGATCAAAAAGCGTCAAGTTGATGAAAGTAATCTCTACAGAAATGTCAACTATTGCAGTTCCCTGTTGAGGACTGCGTGTGTGGCTCAGTCCTGAGCTTTGCTTCCCTTTAAGCAATGTCACCATGTCTTTCCACGGAAGGGGCAGGGGCTGAGGGGCACAGGTGGGTGGGGGCTGTCGGTGTGGGAGGAGGGCCGCCCACAGTCCTGCTGTTTCCGTTTGCTCCAGCTGTGATGGCCTTCCTCTTCGACCTGAAGGACCTGGTGGACCTCATGTCCATCGGCACCCTCCTGGCTTACTCTCTGGTGGCTGCGTGCGTGTTGGTCTTGCGGTACGTATGGCTCTCCTGGGTTCCGGGGCATAGATAGCAGATTTCCTTTTAACTGCCAGCCTTCCTATTAACGGTTCACGTTCATGGTTTTCACGGTGTGATTCAGGTTGTGGAAAGCTCCTTCGGGGACTGCCTGGGGGAGGGTGGGTCTGGTAGATGGGAGCCTAGTTACCGAGAACATCCTTGAAGAGCGTCCGGTGGCCCCATCTGTCTCAGGTGCTGAGTATTCTGACCAGATGTTGGAAGGATAGAGACAGGTTATTGACCTGCCTATTGGGCCTGGATCCTTGGATCAGAATTTTTGAAGGCTTAGGGCAATAATTTCCACCTGGTCCAGGTTCTTAGGACAGAGGAGACTGGGTCCTGGCCCTGGTGAGAGTTGGGAGAACCCAAGACCTGTGGAACGCGGGTCAGTGTGATGCTTCTGTGGCAACACTGTGCCGCCCTTGGAGGAGTGAGGGCCAGTTTTTGGCGTTGCGTGGGTGACCGGCCCCGTGGATGGCAGTTCTGGGCCCAGGCTTGGTGTCCCGGTGTTCTCAGCTGCCGTGGCGCCCCCTCTGAAAGCACACCCTGCTCCCATTTCCTGTGCTCTGCGAGACAGCTTCTTTGCCCCCAGGAACGACCCCGGTCGCGGACATCCCAAGCACCTCCATGTGTTCACGGAGACTCTCGGTGCTGCTCACCTGGCAAGAGTGCCCCCTGCTTTTTTTTCAGGTTGTTATACTTGCGAGGCCCCTGATTCTGTTACTAATGTGCCCCGCAGCTCCTTTAACTGCCCTGAGCCCCAGCAGTGGCTGTGGAGAATCAGCTGAAACTAGTTTCCTTGTTTCTGACCACTTACTCCTTCTTAAGAGCTCAGTGCTAGAATCTTCTCTGAGATCCTCTCCACTTTCTTAACTGACCGAATGGTGTTGCATAAAGTGAGCCAGTCAGGGAAAAAAATCGTTAAATATCTTTTTACTTGCTCTTAGATTATATGCAAAATAATTCATAAAGCACTCCATTTTTCAAAGTCAGTGGAAGAGATGGGAGCTCTGTTCACTTTGGCTGAGCAGATAAGGGGCCTCATTTAAAATGACTGCTTTCCTTGCAGGTGGCTAGTGTCTTGGAAATCCTGCCACAGACTGGCCCTTCACCCAGCTCTGTAGAGTTATTTATTCTAAGGCACTTGGAGTTTTAAAATAAAGTGATCCAATTAAATCTCCCAAACAGAATTTCTCGACTCCGGCAGCTCGCAGACGCGTTTCTCTGGCTCTCTACACCAAGTGGGGTCCCAATACCACGGCTTTCTATTTCTGGCTGCGCCTTTAGCTCCCTGCAGCCATCGTTTTGTTGAAGCGGCCGAATATCTTAAGTACCCAAGGGCCAGTGCCACTTTTCAGAGCAAGAGACATTGTCTCAGTACTTCTCTCTGGGCTGGTTCATGGTGGAGGTCAAGTGTTGCCTCAAAACAGACACATCAAGGGGGGTGTTGCCCAGAAGCAGGAGCGGAAGCTGAGGCCCAGGACTCCTCCTGTGTCTCCATTTGCTGGAGAATATGTCATTCTGACCATCTTCTTCCCGTTTTATGCCTCGTGTCAAGGCAACTTACCTTTGAAGGTGTACTAGGAGCTTCAATTAGCGTGTCCTTTTGCTTAATTGACGCACATTATGATGGTCAGGCAACGTGCTGCCTTACAGGTATCAGCCAGAGCAGCCTAACATGGTATACCAGATGGCCAGAACCACCGAAGAGCTGGACCAGGCCGACCAGAATGAGCTGGTCAGCACCAGCGACTCCCAGACCGGCTTTTTACCAGAAGCAGAAAAGTTTTCTTGGAAAAGTGTGCTTTCGCCCAAAAATACAGACCCTTCCAAATTCTCAGGTCTCATTGTAAACATCTCAACCAGCCTCATAGGTAAGACCCTCCTGTTCCCCGAGCAGTGTTTGGGGTCTCGCTTGTGGGCACCGCGTGGTTTCACGCCCACGGGGGTGGGCCGGGGCCCGGTGGCTCCTGGGCGGTGATGTCACTCATCCTGCCCCGGTTTGGTTGCTCCCTGCAGCAACGGAGCCTGCCGTCCTCTCTGCGGGTTTTGGGGAGGGCTGAGGATGTCTGTGGGAACTTGAAAATGATTGAACTGTGTCTCTCTTTCTCCCTCTCAGCGATTCTGATCCTCACCTTCTGCATGGTGGCCGTGCTGGGAAAGGAGGCTCTGACGAAAGGGGAGCTGTGGGCAGTCTTTGCGCTCATGGGCTCTGCCTTCCTCTGCTCGGTCGTCACGGCCATCATCTGGCGGCAGCCCGAGAGCAAGACCAAGCTGTCATTTAAGGTGAGCAGCTCCGCCGGCGGCTGGAGGGAGCCCTCTGGGAGGCCGTGACCCTGGCACTCCTTCCAGGAGGCTGTCCTGCCACGTGGGCTCTGCCTGGGTGTCCGGAAGAGGTGCTGGCCGGCCAGGTCAGGGGGACAAGAGAGGACAGACTGTGGAAGAAGGCCCCTTCCGGCCCCTCGTCCACTGGGGCTTCTCACAGATGTCCGCCCTGGTGGGTCGCATGTCATCCAGGTCTTGGAGATAACCAGGGCTTCTGCATGTTTAGATTCTACAAATAATAAAATAGTTCAGTCTTTGAGATAAAGCAGGAGTTCGAGTAGAGCTCGCTTTGGCAATCAGTAAATTAGAGCCAAACTCCCACCTTCCAGGACTTGCCTGTGTGGGCGTGTATTTGTGGGTGGGGCTGGGGGTTCAGGGGAATGTGTTGGGCGTACGGGGTAAGTGTTGGGGAAATGGCATGTGTCCTGGGGTACAGGGGAGTGTATTTGGGGGTACAGGGGTATGTGCTGGGGCATGGGGTGTGTGTTTGGGGGCACGGGTGTGTGTTTGGGGTACAGGATATATGTGAGGGGTGCAGGGTGGGAGCCGGCACTCACTCCCCTCCCCACAAGGACGCGGCCTCCAGAAGAGCGTCAGGGGTGCTCTCTTGTCTCGGGCAGTGTTGCTGAATGCTTCAGGCGGAGGCAGTCCTGTGTCCTGAGCTCCCCACTCAGCCGGGTGACGCTGCCGCCTCCTGTCTTTGCAGGTGCCCTTCTTGCCGGTTCTTCCCGTCCTGAGCATCTTTGTGAACGTCTATCTCATGATGCAGCTGGACCAGGGCACATGGGTGCGGTTTGCCGTGTGGATGCTCATCGGTACGTGCGTCCTGGGTTTTGCTGTGACCTGCCTGCCAGCGTCCTGGTGTCTCCCGGCCTGCCCCTCCCACCCTGCCCCGCCCCGTCTGTGCTGCTCACCTGTCTCCCCTGCTCCTGCTGGGTGGCCCTTGTCCTCCAGCCTCCCCTGGTTCAGATTTCAAAACACAGTGGAAACAGCGCAGTCAGCGGTTTTCTCTCAGTGAGCAGGGAACTTCTGGGAGGCTGTGGGTCCTCCCTCCCTTTTAGATGATTCTCATTTTAATAGCCTTTGGCCTGAACTAGTTATCTTGTTGGGCGAGAGAGCCTGACGTTCTAAGAACAAGCCCGTGAGCCTGCCATTGGTGAAGCAGCGGTTTGCTCACCCCGCCGGCAGCTGCAGCCTGGCCCACGGCCGCAGGGACTGGCCGGACCCATGGGAGGCTGGGTGTCACCCTGTGGGTGCTGGCCCCGTTTTGCACTCACTGTAGCCCCCTCTCTGGGCCTCCAACAGCAGGGGCTGTGGAGATGGACTCAGATTCCTTCTTCAGTGTCAGAGGCCAGGTGCCAATGCCCAGAGGACTGGCCTTGACCTCCAGGTCCCTGATGAGAGCAGTGGCCTCCAGACCATGTTGCTGCCACACCTCCAGCCCCGGTGCTGCCCTCGGGGCGGGGTGGGCTGCCAACTCGCTGTCCGCGGAGCCTAGGCCGGGTCTAGTCAGGCACTCGGCTCCTGTGGAGCTGTTTGGTGAGCAGCCGAGGCCGGCCCGCAGTGCTCCCTACGGAGTCCCCGATGGAAGCTCCTTGATTCCAAGGCGTTCACTTCTCTCCAGGGCTTTTGGTGGCTGGTCCTTCCTTTAAGGTCTGCTCTCCTGTGTCACTGACACAAGGGCACCCCCTTCCCCAGGAGGGAGTGGTTAGGGCACAGGTCTCTGGGCCCCACCCCTGACCTCTGCGGCTCCCCAGCGCTGGAACACTGGATTCATGGGTTGCATGCATTCCCAGGAGACCTGAATGCCTCCTGCCTGAGACACCTACATAGGGAAAACGGGCTGGAAGATGGCACAAATAGGTTCCCGCTGGAAAGCCGCCCTGGCCAGGACCGTCAGACTCCTGGAGGGTCTGTCCTGTCCCCTCCTGTGGCTGAGGGGCCCCTGGCCAGGTGGTCGGTGGATGAGGCTGAGGGACCCGGGCCCCAGCCCAGCAGCTCCCCCTGCTCGGTGCCTCCCTCACGGGAGGCTGCCCAGAAGGACGTGCCTCTGCCGCACATAGAGGTGACCCTGTTTGAAGAGCGGTGTCCCTTCCCCAAGGGCTGCTGCCCGGGAGGCTCAGGCCTGGGGCAGGCCACCCAGAGAGGCCCCCTCCACACCCCGCTCACCCGGCCTCTGCTCGCCCCACAGGCTTCTTCATCTACTTTGGCTACGGGGTCTGGCACAGCGAGGAGGCGTCCCTGGCTGCTGACCAAGCAAGGACTCCTGATGGTAACTTGGACCATTGCAAGTGACGCCCAGCCCCGCCCCCGGAGGTGGCAGCAGCCCTGGGGGATGCCCTCAGAGGCCCCGGAAGCACCTGGCTCCCCTCACCTGCGTTCCAGGACCCACCCACACTCACCAAGCCCCCTGCAGCAGACCGTGCAGCTACTGGGCCTGCAGCTGCAGCCCCCAGTTCGTGCGTCCTGCTCAGGCCGGCCCTCCCAGGCCCCGGTCACCCGGCAGCTCCCTGGCGGGGGCCGCGTGGCTGTGGCTGACCACCATGTCTCCAAACCCTGCTCTGAACAAAGGGAGCAGCCCCTCTCCTCGCCAGCTTGGCAACCCTGCTGCTGCGGCCTCCGGCACAGTGGAGGTCACCATCTCTCATCACCTTAGGAGTCCAGGCCTCCCCTTCCAGGGACTCTTCTGGAATCGACAATGTGCATACTCCAGACTTGTAGTCCCCACCTCCCTGCTCGGCCCCACACAGCCAGCCCTCGTGCAGGAGGAGCACCACGAATCAGTATGTCCCCAGCCACGCCACCCCCGGACCAAAGGACAGCGGGTTGGTTTAGTTTACTCGGAAAGGAAAACCTAGACTGTCTGTTTCTCCCGTTCCTGCCCTCTGAGTTGCCTCCAGGGGGGTCGTAGGACGGTGACCGCCCCCTCACCTTCCAGGCAGGGCCTTTGCTCTGTCACCGTGACAGACTGGGCACCCTGCACACTCTGGCGGCAGGGCAGACCACGCATGGCACAGGCGGTGGCCGGGAAGGGCTGGCTCTGCCTGGCAGGTGTGCGTGGGGACCTCTTTCTGCCACGGTCCCTCCAGGCCCCTGGCCGGTTCTCACTGCTGGCTGGGTCCTAAGCAACTGGAAGTCCACAAGTTTATGTTGGACCCACCTCAGATCACGGAGCTTAGAGCCCCACTCTCTCTGGTCTTTGCTCTGCACCAAGTCCTGCCTTTGCTGCGTGTGGGTCAGTTTCTTGGATCCTGTAAGGTTCTTGAGGTGGCATCTGCTCTTTCTGAGTGATAGCCTGGGTCCTCCCAGCTGCTTCTGGCCGCCGACAGCATCTCTGACCACCTCTTATGGCCACCTCTTATCAGATGGAGTCCTCTTGTTAGTTGCTGTGAATCACTCCACCAAATTCAGTTGGTGCTGAGCATTGACTTGGAAAGAGGCTGAGTAATTTACCCCTTGTTCTTCAGGGTGTGGGGTCTGCACGAGGCAGTGTGGGCTCATACTTCTGGGCCTCGTGTGTGTGTCATCCAGATGCTGCGGGTTTGTATACAGGTTGGTAACCTGCCCCGGACCCCCCTGCCTCCAGGTCTCAGCCCGTGGGGCACCGGTGTCCCTGGGCACACGCACTCCCTCCCGCGCCCCCAGGACATTCCTTGTGGACAGGCTGAGCCTTCCGTCCTGCGAGAGTGTAATTCAGGGGATGGAAGGGCCCGTGCTGGCCAGAGGTGAGGGGCAAGCATTTGGACACCATGGAAAATGTAAATGCTGCTTTGAAGCGTAGATTTCCCTCTTTCCCCTGCTGGCCTTTGTCCCAAATCTGGTAGAAAAAAGCCTGATAAACTGATGATACTTGGCTTCTCTCCCTCTGCCCCTGAAGGTTCTTGGAGAAAAATGCAAAAACGAGTGAAGGGGCTCCACGGTTGGGGCGGCGGGGGTGGGCAGGCCAGGCTGGCCCTCCGTCCCAGACTCTGGCCACCCTGGTCAGTCGTGGATGCTTCATTCTTAATATCATTTGTGAATCTTCCAGAGGGAGGATTGTTAAGAGCCCAAAGCTCGGACTTCCAAAGAAAGGTATTTAAATTTATATAGATTGGTGCTGTACAGTATTTTGATAAATGTTAACTTATTTTGTTGGGGTTTCGTTGTCTGCTGTCTGCCGGGGGCCTGTTCGCTGTGTGTCTGACTAGCCTGCCGTCTGTCTGCAGAGGCAGAGAGCGTGAGGGAAGGAGGGCGTCCACGACGGGGGACAGGTGCTCTTGTGACTTTCTCTTTCTGGCTGAAACGTCTTTGAACGGCAGCCCCCAGCCGACTCTGTACAGTGGGCATTGCAGCAACACGTGCCGCTCTGCAGCCGAGAAGGTGTGTCTCAGCATCTCCAGGGATGAGCACGTCCCGACAGACGGGTCTCCTCCGTCACCCAGAGCCGCCAGGTGCCCCACAGAAGGGCCCAGGGGGCGTCAGGAGAAGCCCTGCAACCTCCCCGCCAGGCAGGAGCCCCCCTTGGAAGGGGCCCCAGGGCGATGTGATCGGTGCAGGGGCCGGTGTTCCACCTGAGAGCGGCTGTCATACAGTCGCCTGGGGTTTCCTCTCCTGTGTGGGGGGCAGTGTTGCCAGGAATGGTGTCTGGGGGGTGCCTCCCAGTGTCAGCAGGCTTTCTTACCACATGCCCCTCCTTCCTACCCCTGAGGTGGGCACACACGCGCATACACAGACAACACGCACACACGCACACACACAGGCAAAAATAACCACCGGAAGTGCGGACAGTTTCACATCTCAGCCCCCCACCCCGACTCCCCGCAGACCGTAGTACGGTTCCAAGTTTCATGGCCCGGCCGCGAGTTCCTGCTCAGTCAGAAACTCCCCCTTTCTCAAGACACACCTGCGGGGGATAGTGTGTCTGCTTTTCTCTGCGCCAGCCCCAGATCGCCACGTTGGAAAGACCCATTTGTGATGAGTAAGTGTCCCGTCCTGCTGCCGGTGGCCTTGTGAAAACCCACAAAGCAGCAAATGGCGGGGCCCTCAGGACCTGTGCTGAGGAGTGAGGGGTGCGGGGGCCTCTGTGGAGACACAAGCCCCCAGGCGGGGGTGAGGACCTTCGCTGGGAGCTCAGGCCTCTGCACGGCCCCCAACCCACTGCTCACACCCCCTCTGCCTGGCTTTGGGCTGAGCTGTTTTCCCAAGCCCAGAGGAGGGGCGATAGAGCCATCTTTCCAGGCCGTTTCGGAGAGGCTGCTGTTCATACCATTGTCAGGATCACTCATATCCCCCACCCTCACCTCCATCAGGTGATCGGCCACCTGGCCCCTGTGGTTTGGACACCACCGGCCTCCTGCCCACTGTGTGCACAGGTGACTGCAGCACACTGGGGGCTTCTCTGCCCGCCCTGGGCCCCTGACACTGCTCTGTACCTCTGGCACACCTGTTCACACCTGGCAGAGGCGCCCGGCCCGGCAGGACCCTTGCACTGTGTGCACTGAGCTTCATGCTTGTGGGTCGGAGGGTGGGTGGGAACCAGCTCTGTACCAGGTCTCGCCTCCACCCCGCCCCGCCAGGCCGGCAATGACTGGACAGGGGCTTACCGTCCCGCCTAGAATGACCTCTAGCCTAACCCCAGAGCCAGCGCTCTGAGCGTGGGGGGGAGGAGTTCCTAGGGGTGGGCATGTCTCCTAAAGGCCCCACCCAGATTGCAGGGGAGCCCACAGGCATTTTGGGGGTCTTGCTGCTGCAGAAAACTTGCTGACTCCCCGCCAAGACCCGTCTTTCCTGGTCTGAATGTCCCACTTGGACACGTTGACTCAGCCCATTGTTCTGTTGGCACCATGAGGACAGAGTGAGGGGTCTCTGGGCCGGGCCGCCTCCCCGCGCGTTCTGGGAGGAATGGGGCGGTGTGACTCTGGGCGCAGGCGTGTGACGCTTGTGTGCGAACTCTTACAGAGTTAGCTGATCCTAGTGGACCTAAATATATGTTGTGTATAAATGTTATGTATAATTTAAAATATATCTGTCTTCCCTCATAATGAGAGTGTGATATATAAGGCCCCTTAGCGGGGGAGCAAGATGTACATTTTGTCAGACTCTTCTGGACTCTCTTTGGTAATGAAATGCTTTATTGATCCGGTGGTGCAAGAAGCTACGTACACTCCGTATCTCATCACCATGGTTACGATGCCTGTTGGGTGGTTTAGGCAAAAAAAAGTCAACTGACCTTCCTGTTCATTACATGCCCCAGTCTTTCTGTGCCTGCTGCCTCACTGAGTGGCAGTGCTCTTTCAAGAGGGAGCTGGACCAGTCAAGGGTCTTGGGGTGCAGTTCTCAGGAGCCCCCTGGATCGCCCTACAGACATGTTGAACTGCCGGCTGCAAAAATCCCCATGAGATGAAAAACTGTGGCTTGAAGTCCAACTCGGATTTCTCAGGGTCAGGGAGCAGGGCTGGGAAGATGCATTCAGACTTTGTTAAATTATTAACAAGGTATGTATAATGATTTTGTGTTTCTTGATGATAAACTTTTTAAGTTTGGGACTTATTTTCCCATTTGGAAGTTATAATATATATTTAAAATAAGTTTCCTGCTTAAGTTGTGCCTTTCAGCATTGCTGGGTTTGAGGAGCACAGAGGGTGATGATCGTAATGAGGGTTGGTTTACCGTCAAACCTGAAAGCTGTGGTTTCTCCAGTACACTTCTACTGAACGTGGAGCCATTATGAAAAGACCAGAGCGTTTTTTATTATGTAAATTGTACAATATTTTTTGCTTGTTTGAGGTTCTATTTTTCTAATAGTTTTCTTATAGTTTCTTATAATTGTGATACTAGATTTAGATTCTGACACACTAACTGCAAATCAGATTGGTCTCTGCTGGTTTCCCCCGTTTTTATTTTAAGGACAAGCGTAGATGTCCGTCACCTTTAAAAAAATGTGAAATTCTGCTCTGTATCCCATTTTCGCTGACAACTCTGTACACTGATACCGTACTTCATGTTGTAAAGCCAGACTGTTTTGTGGTACATTCTCCCATGCTTCTGCAAATCCTAATAAATTCCGTCAAAGGCTTCGGTGCGCAGTGTGATGCCGAGCATTCCAGCCGCTCCGGGCCGTGCCCCGCGGAGAGCTGCAGAGCCTGCCCTTTGCTTTTTGAGTGTCTCCCCACGCCCAGAAGTGGGGCTACCGCATCTTCCTTCCGCCATTTGGTGGGGGTCCTCCTCATTCCAGCGTTGAAGCCTCAACCCCGGACGCCCTGAACCCCCATTTAGGGTCCTCTGGCGCCGTCTCCCCACCTCCCTCTCTTTCTCGACTTGGGTTTGTGCCCAGAGGTCTTTCTGCCCCCGAGACCGGGGGTGACGATGCCCGTTTGCAGGACTTGCGTGGCCGCGCAGCAAACCCCCCTCTGCCGTGAACACCTAGCCGTGCGCTTCCCTGAGCCGGCAGCGTGGAGGACACGGTGCGGGGAGGGGACCACGAGGGTTGCAGTTGTTGTAATCATCCTTGCTGGCTCTCTCCCCGCTCCTCTTGAGAAAGGAAACATCTTGCGCAGGAGGCCAATTCAGTCAAGTGGCCTTAATTCTCAGACCTGGAGGCGCGGTGATGACGTG